CTAGTCGAATACGTAGACTTCTACAGGGCCTTCTAAGTAATGCGCGCCGGGTATAATTCAAACCTCTGCCCCCATCGGTACCATTACCCCTAAAGCAAATCGTCTCCAGGAGACGAAATTACCGTATCGAAATGATTCGAGTCGAATAATTCGATTGGTCGGCTCAGTAATCGATATCCGACGCCGACGATGGACCTGGAAGTCCCCCGGTTGGCGATCGGGAAAGTCGCGAAAGTCGTTAAAGTCGCGAAAGTCGTTAAAGTCGCTTCTAAAGTCGCGTCAAGTCGCGCGACTTTGCGAAAGTCACGAAAGTCGCGGTACAAGTCGTTGAAAGTCGCGATTAATCACTAGTAAAATGCTAGTAAAGTCGCGAGAAGTCGCGAAAGTCGCGAAAGTCGCGGTGAAAGTCGTTCCAAAGTCGCGCGACTTTCCAAAGTCGCGAAAGCCGCGAAAGTCGCGCGACTTTCGCGACTTTCGCAGGAAAGTCGTTATCTCATTAATCGGAGGACTTCCTGGCAAGTACACTTTTTTTTGGCTTCGCTAAACTTCAGGAAGATTGTTGCTCCATCGGTGTTAGCCTTTGCTACCGTATCCATTCCGACGAATAGACCAGCTTGTAGCCTGTGATAGAGAGAACGAGAAAGTACGATGGGATGCTGTTGTTCGAAACGAGGTGGATCAGGAGGCGCCGTCCGATCCCAGACGGAAATGAGCACTCAGAATGGCGGCAAGGTTGGCGGTAGGTCCCTGTCCATAGCGCGAACCATGACGCAGCCAAGCATCAACATTGAGAAGGGGGCCACCAAGGTACATTGTTGTTCGGGATCATCGCTGTTGAATGAAAATGGAGCCATTTTACTCAGCTTAATTCACTCTCTATATTTATTTTTTCAGATATCAGGCAACGGCTTGGCTTTGGCGGGTGCTGCGATTGAACAGGATGCGGCGTATTGGGAGTGGCACATCCATCAAGTGCCAGAAGGGACCAAAGTTTCGTTTGGTGTGGCTCATAAGAAGGATCGCAATTTCTACAATGAACTAGACAAGAATAATGAGGGTATGCTACCGTTATGCTATGCTAATGAATATTTGTGTTGATTCCAATTCCTCATGTTGTCTTTTTCCCTTCTGCATTTCATTCAGATTCGCCTGAACACAATGGAAGATCCATGATGAAAGAAATT